TCCGGACACTCTGCCACTAAGCTAAGCAGTAGATATCCTCGCCACGCGAAAAACTCGTTGTCTTTGTTATTCTGATTTATTGTCTTTGATGTAAAGCACAAATGTATTTAAGTTAGAACTTTTTTTGTCAGAAATGCTTGCGGCTAATTCATTTCTCAGCGGTTCTTCAGTTTGATAACATATGATCTGTACTAATATCTATACTTATCTATACTAAATATTATAAAGAGGAAAGAGTTCAATGTCTGTTTGTTTGCATTGAATGGGCTCCGCAACTACTGAAACTGATATGAAAAATTCTTTCACTGTTGGCAAGCTATAGGCTATATTATATTTTCAAAAACATTTGGGATCCTTACTAAAAATCTGCAAGTCCGTCGGGTCACGTGATGGACTATGCTCTAACACCCTCTGTACAGAGGAGCCCTTTACACAGCAGGGGGACAACATGTATACTGTTACTTTTCAGAATAACCAACTTTATTATGCCAACCTTATGTGAACCAAATTCCTTGGATTGGAATAACATCAAATTCAAAACAATACATAGATTTCTTGTTAAAACAGGAGTTGCTAATAAGACAACAGAAATAGATAGTAAATTAAAAAAGTAAAGTAACAGCCTATACATGTCCCACTGCTGGGCAAAGGCCTCCTCTATACAGAGGGTATCAGGGCATAGTCCACCACGCGGCCCCACTGCGGATTGGCGGACTTCACATATTTTCGAAATACATTTTTTTTTTTGTTATTATTCCGAAAATATGCAGGTTTCCTCACGATGTTTTCCTTCACCGCGGAGCACGATAATTCAGCACTTAAAGTTAAAAACTTCATTGGTGCCGACACCGGGGATCGAACTCAGGTTGCTCGAGTATACATTGAATTAAGGCGAGCGCCCGGACACTGAGCTATCACGGCTCATACACTGAGCTATCACGGCTCATATGTGAAAAGAACAACCGTACTATACAAACTGCCGAAGAACAATGTACAAATAAAGTATTCAAAGTATCCATTTTTAAAAAAAAAGAAACACATACATGAACATTGTGTATCGAAGTAACATTTCATTTTTCCTTTTGTCAATCTCGTAGTGAATCTAATTAATTTACATTTAGAATTTTTATTTCGACGTTTGAAATTGAAATTCTTTAACGTCGTTACCGTTATCTTGATTAAGTAATGATAAATACTTGTATTTCCACGATTACACATTACTAAAAGAGACTATGTTTATGGATTTATCGCATTTATTTTTAGTTTCGAACCCTTTTTAACGTTCATGGTCACGTAGGGAAATAAACAAAGTTAAAAATAAACATTATTATTATTATTATATTCTTTACTGAACACTAAAAAAAACATGAAAGGAAATGTTACAGAACTATAAACTTAAGAGGTATAAACAATAAGGCGGTCTTATCGCTAAGGAGCGTTCTCTTCCAGACAACCTTGTGGTTAAAAATATTTAATTTGGACAACGGTAGGTGGTGTAAATGATAAACTTACATACTAATATTTAAATAAACTAAACGAATATGTTGTATTTTTGTATAATAATAATATACTAATATATACGAAATAAGATCCAATAGACATACATAAATCTAAACATATACTGTACAATAACTTACAAAAATATATACAGGAAGAAAAGAATAAAAAATAAATATACAAATGTCGTCGGTGATAGTCAGCTTCAACACAGTGACAGATAATAATTTTTAACGTCAGTTTTAAACTTGCGTAACGTTTTTGAGCGCTGGATGTGTGGAGGAAGCGCGTTCCATAGGCAAATGGCTTTGACCGTAAAAGAGTTCTTAAAATAATTGGTCCGGAAAGTATGCGGGGTGATAATGAGTTCACTGGCTGATCGCAGAACTCTTTCTGGTCTGTCATGACCAAGAAATTTAAACTGTTCCTTCAAATAACTCGGAGTCATAGGATTGAACAAAACACAGTACAGAAGAGAAACAATATGCAGATTCCGGCGAAGGCGGATGGGTAACCACTTGAGCTTTGTACGATATTCGGAGACATGGTCATACTTGCGTAGACCGAAAATAAATCTGATAGCTAAGTTTATGAATTCGCTCAAGCTTGTTAAGTTGGTCCTCGGTTAAATCAAGATAGCTTGCGTCCGCATAATCGAGAAGGGAAAGAAGTAAGGATTGTGCTAACATAATCTTAGTAGGAATGGGGAGAAAAGAACGTAAGCGCCGCAGAGAACCCATGGCTGCAAATGTTTTCCTGCTAACTTCCTTTAACTGGTGAGACCACGAGAAAGTAGAGTCGAAGTGAACACCAAGGTTTTTAACAGTTTTGCTGTATGGCACCACAACACCATTTAATGTTATCGAGGGAAGGTTATCCCAATCTACCTTTGAAATCATGCCAGCTCCGCCAACAATGATGGCCTGGGACTTGCAAGGATTAATCTTAAGACCATAGCTCTTACTCCACTCGCTAACAGCCGCCAGGTCACCATTAATGGCAGTAACAGCAGTGGGCAAGTTTTCAAGATTTGAATGTGTGTACAGTTGAAAATCGTCTGCATACATATGGTAGAGAGAAGTAATATTGTGAGAGATTTAATTAATAAAGATAGCAAAGAGTAATGGAGACAACACACCACCTTGAGGCACTCCAGCTCGTAATTCACGCCAGGATGAAAACATACCATCAATGCGAATACGCTGCTGTCGGCCACTAAGATAACTCTGAAACCTGATAAATCTATAAATATAATTTCATTTAGTAATAAGCTAATAAAAAAATAAGGAGTTGGCACTACTTATCATATTACTGACTGACTACTACTGACTCTGATTCTTATATTATTATTTATTAATGTTATTAATATTTATTGTCAGGGAGAAAAAGAATACTAGATTTTAATTATGTGATGCAGAGCAAGTATCTACTAAGATGGAGTCATAGATAGTCGAGTAATAATTGACATTGATCAAAACTTAAACTGCTAGCAGTACGATTTTAAAACTCAACTCTTTTCCCTTTGCAAATATAGTATCATATTTGATGTCTATTTGTAATAAACTAGTGGTCGCCCAGTGGTCGAAATTCTACCATAATTAATTATACATGACAGTGTGTGTAATGTTTTTTATTGATTTAATGTATTTTTATGCATAATTAAAAAAGTTGCATTCTGCACTCCTTCTCTGTATAACTATTCTTCTTCTTCTTCTTCTTCAGCGTGTGTTCGCCCACCGTTGGGCAATATATATAACAAATGGAAATGTATATAAGGTGTGGGAAATATAATACTCCTCCGTCCGCGAAATTTTCGTAAAGTGGTACAAAGATTAGCTTCACGTATTAATATATACGGCTTGTAACTTTTTAACCCTACGCAAATAACACTGTACAAAATAAAATCCTTATTGCGAGACTGATCCTTAAATGGTAAATGGTTTTAATACGCATTTTTGCTCTAACGGTCATACGTTTACGACTCATGCAAAAAGTGCGTCTGTATTTGACTAAAAAGAAGACAACAAAACAACCAAAAATCCTTTTAAGCTGAATAAGACAAAACAAATGAAATTTTTTTTTAAATTTCTCAAAACTTTTTTACCCGATTTTTTAAAAAAACTTGGTAAAAAGAATTTTCAGGAAAGTTTCTTGCTAATAAAATGTGCCTAGTTGTTACATCATAATTACTTCAGGATCTAATATTAAGTATATAAAAGTAAACAGGCTATACCTTTCCCACTGCTGGGTACAGGCCTCGCCTGTTCAGAGGGTACTAGATACCCGATCGCACTGCGGATTCTTATTCGAGGACTTCATATTTTTTTTTAACAAAATGTTAAGACTTCACATGTCTTCAATTTTTTTTTTTTCAAATATGTTCCGGTTTTCTTACGATGTTTTCCTCCACCACAATACAATACTGTAACCCTGGTATTCTGTAAGACTGCGGTCCTCAATCAGTTATATGAACTGTTTTTGCACAAACGATTAGATAATCGAATTGCTATAACTCTGATTGTTTACGGTAAAGATGAAGGTGTAGAAAAAAATTCATTCAATATAAAAAGCCTGAGTAATAGATGACGCCAGAGTAAAATAATTTCTAGATCTAACTATATTTAACACATTTTTACTCGTGCAACAAACCATCTTTACAATTAGAAGTCGGTCTGGATCGTCGTCGTATAAATCAGTATGTATTATAGGATTTTTTTTAATCTCAAATTAACTGAGATATAATTTCTCAGTGAACGTGACATAATAGTTTTAATCGGAACGATGTACAACAAGTTCAAGTATTGATTCCAAGAATACTTGAAACCCTAACAAGGTGCAAGAAACGTTAATCTCAATAACACAATTTAGTAGGCTGTGATAATGTTATAATTCTGAATATTTTCCACGTGTTCTTAATGACGCTATTCTACACAAAAGACCTATTTTTACACATATAAGAAGTAGAAGAGATCCAATCGTTTAAGCAAATATAAATGGTAGTAATGGACAAATGCTTCAAATGTTGGCTTATATCCATTTGTATTCAAATCTAAAAAAACAGCAGTATTTTGATCTGACCCATTATGAATAAAGGTGTTATACTCAAGATTTAAAAAAAATTGATGGCTTGATAATTCAAATATTATATTTACTGATTTAAGTCATTACCAATTTAAATGTTAAATATCGATGATATCACTTGTATTTATGAATACGACAGGTTGCTTGCTGGATTGATTTCTAGAAATTCGCTTGGTTAATCGTATGTAACATATCGACCATTTAACAAGAAAGAGGCGAATCCGCTGTTCATAACTAAAGATATAAACAGTAATTTTAAATTAAATTAACAAAGCCAACGGTATTTGATGAGTGAGGTAACAAAAACGTTAGGCTGTGTTCAACGTCTGCATGTTTATGAAAGTATTTAACAAAATGATATGATGATTAAAACAATTAATTCCTCATTTGCTTGACACTACAAACAACTCGTACAGGGATCATTTCTTCCGATTGGGATTGCCGGGGCAGTGGCAGGGCTTTGGGCAGTTCGGTTTTGTCGGCGGCGTACTCATGGACCCTTTCTTTTCTTTCTTTGGAGCCGAGCTATCCGGGTCGCTCACCACCTGCTTCATTTTGTTCATCAAATGATTAATCTGATTCGCCAACTGGCCGACGGTCCTGCACATCTGCTGGAGGGTACCCAGCGAGGATAGATCGGCACGCGCCTGCTTCATCACGTCGCCCGACGGGTCCTCCAAGGTACTCTGCGCCGGCTCGCTGCTCACCGCGGAAACTGAGGTCGGAGCGCAAGGCTTACTCACGGGTGGCGTGGGCGCGCTCGGTATTTGGGGGAAACTGTTCCTCTTGCACTCATTGCCGCACTTCTGTAGCGGGCAGGAGGGGATTATGTTCGTCGACGTCTGGTTTATCTTGTCCGGGGACTTGTTCGACGGGCACTCCTTGTTGTCGCACTTGGCCGGACGGTTGGCGGGGCATTGCATGTTGGTGCAACTGAACGGCTGGTCCGTTCGATACTCCTTCGGCTCGGTGGTCTTACAGTCGGGGCATGGGCAGGTCACCTTGATGATTCCCGCTCGGATGTCCTTAACCTTTCCGGGGGTATAGTTCAAGCATTCGAAATGCATCCATGTTTTGCAAGCGCCTTTGCATTGTAATCCATTCTTTGTAGTGACGGGCCCCAAACAAATTTTACAGGGATTTTTTACCTTACTGCACTTAGACATTTTGTCAATATGTTCAGCACCTTATCAAAAAAGTAAACATGGTTGGTTGATATTTTTATTTTTAATTATATATATTTACTAGGTCGGCATGGTTTATATGAAAATTGTTTTAGAAATGACAGTGTTATAAGACGCTGTCATCTTATTTCATTTTTCTTCTTTTTGAGCAGACTTTTCTTTAGCAGAACAATTTAGAACACCGAAATATTGTCACACCTGTAAGTCATTTCGACAATGCATTTATAATCTATAAGGTCTTTATTAATTAAAAAAATCATTTTTGTTCCAAAAATAGGAAATCAAACTTAAATAATTTTAACTTGCTCCTCATACAATTAATTTTAGTTTCGGTCTAGTATTCTTTATACGAAACTGGCTCGGTATAAATACCGAACCAAAAATAAACAAATGAGTCCTCCTATGCCGGCTTTAAATCGAGACGCATATGGATTACGCAAAGGTTTTTATAACCTTAAAAACAAAAGAATATAAACTTCCTAAAGTTGCTTCTTTGAACATATGGAGCACCTTATTCTTAAAACAATATTTATATTCCGACTTAATTATCATGGGATTAGAATAAAGGGAAAAAAGTAAAGGGCTGTTTTTAAGGAAAAGTTTAATATCTGAGAACACATGAAAATCGTTGGGACTGCAGTTATTGCCATATTTTTACAAAAATACGTCATTTGTTATATTTTTCAGGTATTGCTTTTTTCTAATTTCACGTGCACGTCTTCTCAAAAGCTTCCATCATCCGACACATCAACTCCTTAAGTTGGCCAGAGAGCTGGCCGACGGTGGTGCACATCTGCTCTATGGTGCAGTACAGGGACTTTTGGGTGTCGCGGTTAGGCGGCTTGTTTAACTGCGAGTCCGATGATGAAACGTATCTCGCCGCCATCCGGTCCTCAACTTCCGTGTCACAGCCTACGCGAAAATAATCATGATCAATGACATCTTACCGCTTACTACTGAATCACCTGTGACAAAACTTCCAGTCAACTAGCGGCCGTATTAAAATTTGGAATCCCCTTTCAATTCGATAGGATTAAAAATGAGTGCTTCTATTAAAATGCTATTGTTTCAAAAGAGATGTTGAAATAGTATAGTAGCATTACAATGTAAACACTCGCGTACTGACGATTGTGAGTGAGACTGCTGCAGTCACTCTCGCTGCAGGGGAAACGCTAGGTGACCGTCCCTCTGCAGATATGATTGTGAGTTTTGGACTACTTTTTCCAAACTAAAACTAAAAGCAAGATTGCTTTCAGTTTCAAAGATTAATAAATATCCCTGATCTATTAATTGGTTTAATAGACATTTTCCAAAAAAAAATCTTAAAATGTGACGGCATTTTAATATGGATATTTTTACCGATGTTTTTGAACTCGTTCTTCGACCACTTCTTGTAGAGATCTGAAATCGAAATGGTATATTTTCATAAATAATAAAGAAACAATTTAAATTACCCTTTACTAAAATAATTTACTAACCGTTACAACACGAATCTTTGCCTACGAAAGAGCAAGATAACGAACGTATAGGTGAGCAAAGCTTATTTTGCACTTTTGAGCATACAGGATTCACTGGTAAGCAATTGCGAGGTTTCGACGAGAGTGGACATCGGGTTGTGGGTGTGCAGGTTTTTGGACTACCAGCGTCGAGTACATTTGTAAAAGACGTCGACTCTGGACCCCAATTAAGAGGTTGAGATGCTGGTGAATGTTCATATCGCTTCACAGGATTGCATCTCATGCTGGCACTTATACTGGACGGTGAAGGTTCGGGCATCATGGCCATTTTCTTGATGTGATACATACTAGGACAGTCTGTTGATTCGCAATTCGGAAGGCTGTTTGCGGGGCACTGAAAATTCGTACATGTGTATGGTGATTCAGCCATATTTTCCCGGGGTTCGGTAGTATTGCAATCTGGGCATGGACACGTGATTCTTAATAAACCCGCCTTGATATCTTGAATTTTCCCCGGCGTATAGTTCAAACATTTGAAGTGTGCCCATTTCTTACAAACACCCTTGCATTGGACCCCGTTCTTTGTGGAAACGCTCCGAAAGCACAGTTTACAAGGATTCTTTACTTTGCCACATTTATTCATCTTCACCTTCTTGAACTTGTTTAGGTGAAAAGACTCGAAAAAAATTCATTTTTGTTTCCTTTATTTCTACTTCATATTAATTAAACTTTTGTAAATTTTAATACTTCTGAAAAAACTTACTTTTGTAATGTTTAAAATGAATAATTTCATAAAAATTTTGTTAATACATTATTTATACTACCATTTTTTACATTGACTAAAACTTTGACATATATGTTAAAAGCAGAAATACTGGCAGTCTACACGACACATAAAAGGGCAAGGAACAATATATTTATATGAAATGTAACTTCGACCCAGGAAAAATGTATTACAACTATTTTAAAAAATTAAACATTTGTTTACATTATACTATTAAAAACAACAAGTTTTCTATATAAGACGTTAATCCAAATACCAACATATCGACGTTGTTGTTTCGTTAAAAACAACATACAATTTCGAAATAATTGTAATGGCAATATTATTTTGACACTTGGTCAACTTTGACAACATATGACAATTATAATTGTCAAATGTCAACTGAAAATTTAATGCTAAACTCTCAGGCATATTTAAGGTTATTTTGTAAAAAATTCTCCCAGAAAGATTAACTGGTAATTAAAAATGCCTTTCATGAAAGGAAGAGCACCCATTCGTCGCACTTTGAATTATTTAAACGCTGGAAAACTGGTATTTAAGGATAAAATCAGAATATTTTCCGTCGCATACAATATACGGGGTCAAAATAATGTAGGTGCGAAAGAATTCGTATTTTGGTATTTACCACAGATTCAGTACAAGAATCCAGACGTTCAAGTAACGACATTAAAAAATTTAACGCCATCACCATTCATAAAATGCTACTTCGATGATGGGCGGCAATTTTTGATTGATGTCGATAACAAATCCAAAGAGGATATTTTGGACCACTTACTACACACAGTGGGCAAGACCAAGGAAGTTCTGGAGGCAGAGAGTGTAGCTGCTGAAAAAAAGGACAATCCAGCCAATTTTGGAGTGGGTTGTGAAAGGGCTTGTATTTGTGAAACTTATGGTCAAGTACCTTGTTCTGGTGTTGTGCCTTTGCCAAAATTTATGAGAGGGAAGTATAAGAATCAACAAGACTGAAGTTTTAGCAACGTTTTTTCTAAAGTAAAAACAGCAACTTTTTACTTGATGTTAAAAAAAAAGTCAGTTTCAAATCATAGTGCGCATAGCCAATGTATTCTATTTAACATTATTAATAACATCTCAGTAGATTCAACCGTTGAATGAAACTGAAAGATGTAACTTAAAGAATATAGTTGTGACTTTAAATAAATTAAGCATAAGTTATAAATAATAGACAATAAATAAAAATTATAGTCTTTGTTTTTTAATAAACACCTTTATTCAAAATACAAGTCCCATTACAGTTTTAACCATTAGCGCAGCAGCAATATATTGCATGTTGTTGAAAGCATTAAAGGTTTTTGCATTTTCATGCATGAAAAGTTTATCGTCCACTTCTCTCCCCCGTGGACATGTGTGAAAGAATATCCAGTTATTTAAACATTTCCTTTCCAAATCCTAAAAAAAAAGTAGTTAAATTCTATCATCAATATTTTAAACAAACATTTCAGCTCCATAGAAAAATTTGAAAAAATGGAAACTGATAAATTATTAACATTTATTCAGACAAATTTGCAATAAAAAATGTTTTGGTTAATAATTTCACTGTACTGTACTGTATATCAGGTTACCCTTTCCAAAGCACATCTTATATTTTTTAGTTTCTGCATCTCTCACCCCCGTATCTGAAACACTAATCATCATAGAAGTTAATAACACTGAATTAATCATTCTGATCATTAAGATTGTTCTGATGAATTCAGAGAGTTTAACCGTTCTTTTGGCAACTCAAATGAAATTTAAAAAGCTGATTAATTAATTTCTATGATGTTCAGTGTATCAGAAACTGGGCATCAGTTAACAAGGAATGTCCCTCACACAAAATCTGTATATTAATACCATAGTTAGTTTTAGGTTTATATAAATTAGAAGACTGTGATTCATGTCTCGAAATATGTAAAAATACTATCAAAAACAGTGCTATAAACTTGGCGGTAAGTGATACCTTAACTAGTAATACCTTACTTAGTTGTAATACCTTACATAAATTTTTATTTGTTTAGGGACATAACATTTTAATATTATGCTTTTGCTAGAACAGTACTACTGTTGCATTAATTGTTCATTTTGTATGTTAAACATTTGGTATGTTTTTCATAAACATTCTGAACAATTTATAAGTAATCTTATTTATAAAAATGGATTGCTGTTCGTTAGTCTCGCCTAAATCTCGAGAACGGCTGGACCGATTTGGCTAATTTTGCTTTTGAAATATTTGTGGCAGTCCAGGGAAGGTTTAAAGGATGAGATATTATGGGAAAATTGTATGGAAAATCGAAATAGTAACAATTTTATTTTCCTATGCAAACTGTACCTGTCAACCTGTCAAGTGTGTCTGTGTTACCTGTCAAATATTTTATGTGTTCAGGTTGACTAATTTCCTAGAAATAATTTATATGGCAAAACAACGGTTGCCGAGTCAGCTAGTTTTTAATAAAACATTTCTCAACCTACCTCCGCAGTAAAACAAAACTCCTTGATTTTATCTTCTTTTTGACTTGTTGGCCCTGCTATAATAACAGAAGCATTACCAAGCACATCATCCTTTTCCAGACATTGCTTAAGTACTGTTTGGCTTTTTTTGGTCATATTTTGGCTGATTTTGTAAAGAAGTGGACTCACAGGACATTTCTAGGATAAAAGTAAAGAAAAAAGTATCAAATACCTGTGGTAGGCCCACGCAACAGTCAACGCTTTTGCAGGAATGGGCAGGTCCGTCTGGGAAACACCACGACTTCGCAGAAAACCGGCGTGAAGTAGAATTATTATACTTCTGTGTTTCGTCTGGTGAGTGAGTTAGCCGGGGCCCACTTTATTAAAAAGTGGCAACGCATCCACAACCCCATGGTTGTGGCAAATGTACATGGGCGGCGGTTATTATTTAATATCAAGTGAAACACCAGCTCGCTTGCCTTAATATTTTTATAAGTTATATCACTTAAAAAAGGGTAGAAATGGGCATTTATTGTTATACGTCGTCAACAAAGTCAAAGTCAAAGTATATTATTTCAATATAGGCCTAACTTAAAGTCTTATTGAACGTCAACAAAAAATCTACCACCGGTTCACTAAACTAGACCTACACAGAGAAGAACCGGCAATAAACTCTGCGGTCTTGTTCTTTTTGTAAATTTTTTTTGATGCAATTATACACACTTATTTAGGTATAAAATCAACAGAAGGGGACTTGCAAGTGCAGAGCAAGAGTCATTTCCAAACATCCTTGTCCTCAATGTATTCTTGGACATTCTACTAGGCCCTTGCCATTAAGGTAGCTTTTACTACGCCTTCCACTATTTTAGCAGCAACATATTAAGTACCGTTAAATGTCACTTTCATTTTTCACAGGCGTTTATATAACACCATGAGAAATAACTAGTGATAAGCAATAAAATATATCACCCTCAGTTTCGCAAAGGCCTGCTTCGACAAGTGGTCATCAGACCGCTCCCCCTCCCTAATACCCTAAATACGAAGTTATCCCTAAATACGAAGTATTTTACCTTCGGGAGATAATGGTACATCTTCGGGGGCTGCTGCCGCAACTGTTGCGTGACTAGCCTAGGTATACCATAAAATACAATCGAAGCGTGTTAAAGCATTAAAACGTTTGGAATTACTTTTTTCCTTTTCCTTCGCAATCGAGCACATGATGATCACCCGGTAAATTAGATTAGTATCGTAATTGGGATTGAACTCGTTTCTCGAATAAGATGAATAAAAAGACGAACGCCTGAACATATAAAAATTCTAATAGAGGAGATAAGAGACTACACATACACGATATTTATATTTTCAATATGTTGATAATTATTTTTGGGACGATAATTTACAAAATCAAAGTGAACTAACAAGGCCGTTTGAGTGCAAGTCTTAATTTTTTCCTATATTTTTAAGTTTTTTTTCTATTATTGCAGTCATTTACCTCGTGCTTAAAATAATTATTAAGTCGAAGCACGTAAGTTACATATTTGTTTTTATACACATAAAGTAAAAAAAAGTAACAGCCTATCCCACAGCTGGGCAAAGGCCTCCTCTATACAGAGGGTATCAGGGCATAGTCCACCACGCGGCCCCACAGCGGATTTCGAAAATATGCAGGTTTCCTCACAATGTTTTCCTTCACCGCGGAGCACGTGATAAGTCATCACTTAAAGTTAAAAACTTCATTGGTGCCGTCACCGGGGATCGAACTCATGTTGCTCGAGTATATTGAATTAAAGGCTAAGCCTGGACACTGAGCTATCACGGCTCCTTTATACACATGTCTTCATTTGAGTAGAATCATGTTAACCTTAGTTCCTAAGACTATTGTGAATTGTCATATTTTATTGCGGAACCAGATTTAATTCCGTTGGTGATTATTTACGATACGCAATCTGGTGGCGCCACATTCGCTGTCTTCATTGCTAGTTGCTACCCTAATTGATTGGTAGCAGAAATAGTTCCGTTTGTTTTTCGCCTTATGGCAAGGTTTTTAACTTTTCTCTTCGGGCTACATAATTTATTTGTGTTAATATTACGAATACGATAATTGCACTTTTAATACTGCGAGAATACGGTTTAAGCTTCGCCCTTTGGAACTGACGGAGTTTTAACGAAATCACTGGGAATTTTGCTCTTTGTTTTTGGTTTAATATTAATAGGAATTAATAAATTACTAGTCCTATCCAACAAAACCTATTTTTTCGCATCAAGGCAATTGTTAGTAAATTATCACCGGGATCAGTGTCCTTTTTGGAGCTTGTTCTTAATTCAAAAAACTCAGCAACCTGAGTTCAAATCCCCAGTCCCAATCTCAACTGGGATCGCGTGGTGGAAAATGTCCTAATACCCTTCGTACAGAGGATACCTTGTGCCCAGCTGTGGGACTTGCATAGGCTGATAGCTCTCTTTTTACTTTTAACAGCCTCGTTCCGGATATACTGGTGGTCATAGCTGATTTCATCAGCATGTTCTGATCTACATAAATAAAATAAACTAGCTAACTCACTTCGCCTGTTATTTCGTCCGCTAAAATTGTTCCATTTTAGGTGAAAGAATTTTAAAAATCTTTGGATTTGTTTTTGAGTTAAATCGTACCAAACAAACAAACATAAAATCATATCTTTCCTCTTTATATCATTATATTTTATAGATTTAGTACTTTAGATAAATCAATATGTGTAAAATATATGTATAATAATACATAAATAAAATAAATTGTGACTTACTGCACAACAGCATTTAAACTTGATGTTGGCGCCAAGCATCGGGCACAGAAGCAGGTAAGAGTTGAGGACTGGATGGGGGTTGCCTACATAACCAATGTTCAGGCTTTCCATAGAGCCGTATTCTTCCTGGAAACACTTTGGTCAGTGAAACAGATTAAAACAAAAAAAATATTTGTAAAGCTCAACGACAATACATAATGTTTTGGGTGTATCTCTAACTCCTGATTATCTTTTTCTATGCCGGATACGTATCATCAGTGAATATGATGCAATTGAACACCAAATTCTTCATAAATATGTAAGTTAGGTCGAACAAAACTTGTACTGCGAGATAAGTTGCGAGCGCGAGTTGTGCGTACAAGTCTAAAATTTGCTTCAAAAATATTGTATACGTATCTTTGCCAATATCTATGCCTATAATCTACGCCAATGAAAGCTAATAAAAACGCTATGCACATCAACGAATAGTGAGGCCTATTCTGTTTGTTGTCAGATGGGAATGGTACGGCAATTCAGACGAGGACCGGCCTCGATTATACATGTGCTCATTTTTAATTTTAAGGTTATACTTCTTTAGGCGCGTTATGAAAAAATGATGAGATTGAAATTTTAAGAAGCGCGCGCATCGCCGTAACACAAAAGTAACACCTTTGAAGCTGCCCGCTAAACCGCTTTTTATAGATTCATTCATTCATTCACATTTGCCCGTTACAGTTCTCAATAAAGAATGTAGATGGCGCTTTTATAATTTTATTATTCATAGCCCTTTTATTATTTTATTGTAATTGATTTTTGCATGGCATGCCTGCTCGCTTGGTAACTTTTCACATAAAAAAGAAGTTTACCCATGTTAAAGTGTAATAATTAATCCCCACTACACTCTGGCCTTCTGTGAGGCCGTCGTACTCCCCAGGACGACTCTACCCATTCATGCGGCAGCAGATGTTGCCGCGTGCCTCTACCAATGTGAGAACTTTACAAGCGTTCAATTCGTTTACTCGCAAAGTTCAGACTTAAAAGACTTCTTAATAAGAATCCCCTTGAAGAAAACTAAATTGATGGTTATTACGAAACAACTCCAATCTGAATTATAGCATATTTGTACAAATAATCATCATTAATAACGGTCTAGTTGTGACAGGCACAGCCAATTGAAGATTATTTTACGCATTTTTTCGCTTATGTTCAATTTTACGCATTGGATGATGATGGTGGCGTTAGACAGACTGAGGTATCTTGCGTCTTGCGTCCTAATATCAGAAAAGCGCACTGTCGAATTGAGTTTAGCCGTACACAAGTATTGTATATACACAGACGCGAAACATTCTTTATCTGTGGGTCACACAAATACTTGTCTCGTGTAGGAATAGAACCCACGACCCCCACCGGAGCCTCGACAACTGCGCCCCGTAGTCGACCAATCCTTACTAATATTATAAAGGCGAAAGTTTTTATACAGCGTGTCGTTTCCATCGCGACAATAAATGAAGACACATATAGGGGATAACTTTTTTAAGTTGTATTAAACATTTAAATTCTTTAAACATCAATATTTGCAGAGTTATTAAATTTTCCAAAACAAAGAATTTTAGAACATCCTTACCTATAAAAGCGTAACGTAAAGTTCATTTGTAAAGGTCACAAAGCATATGAATGGGTTGAATGAATTTAAAAGAGACAAAACATACTGTTAGAATGAGAGGCTTGTAATACGACGCTGTGGCGCGAGTTGTATAGAATGTTACAAATTTTGTTTCTTTTTTACTTAATTAGTTTGTTTGAAAAATTTTTTTTTTAATTATGGATTTTGTTTAACGTTTATATTTTTTTATGATTATTGGCAAGTAGCGTTAGACGTGTGTTCATTTATTGTCGCGATGGTAACGACACGCTGTATATGGATGTAAGTTTGTTACTCTTTCACGCAAATACTACTGAATGGATTTTAATGAAACTTTAAAATAATATAGCTTATACATCAGAATAACATATAGGTTATATTTTATATACATACTTTTATGTATATATCTGCCTTTCTGTCTGAATGTTACGCCTTCAGCCTATTCTACGCAGACGTAGTCGCGGGCAGCAGCTAGTAGTGCATACATAAAAAGAAACTAAATACACGAATTACTAACGATTGTGGCCATTACTGTCGCCAGGGCTTGGAGGCTAGCGTGCGCTCGCGACCTCACGCATAGCACGGGCGCTGTCGACTGGCCGGCGAACCGCTCCACGCATGTGTGCGTCGACGTCGTCACAAATATGACGTCACACATCATCGAGAACACCCTGAGTATAATCGGAACAATAAAGCAATCGACGCAACCCTACAAACGCCGTGTAAGGATTTTTTGTAACAACAGAATTGAGAGACCGTTGAATGGAAAGTGTCCATGCTTTTTTTATGTGAGAAAGTGGCAAATGAACTGGTGGTTCACCTGATGTTAAGTGATAACCACCGCCCATGGACATTTGCAACACCCGTACGGTTGCAAATGCGTTGCCACCTTTAAACAGAGTGGGCACTGGCTACCTCACTCACCAGACGAAACGCAGAAGTATAACACTTCTACTTTACACCAGTCTTCTGTGAGGTCGTGGTACATACCTGCACGGACCTACCCATTCGTGAAACAGTAAACACTGTTGCGTGGCTCTACCAAGATGCTTGCATGCATGTTGATTATAAGAAAGGAATGGCAAATAAAAAAAGTAAAGCAAAATAACAAACGCCTCCCCTGTAATGAAGATATTAGGGCCTAGTCCACCACTGTTGAATGATGATTGTCAGATTTCACATATTTTTGAAAAATGTTTTTTTGTTATCATTTTGATAATATGCAAGTCTCACGAGTTTTCATTCACCACTGGGCACGTGATAAGTCAGCATTGAAAATTAACAATTTCATTAGTGTCGGCACCGGGATTCGAACTTAGATTTCTGGAGTATAATGAATTAAAAGCGAGCGCCCAGACACTGAGCGATCTCGGCAAATTTTTAACTTGACCCTAATTTAGTGAAACATTAATATATACAGCGTGTCTTTCACATGGCGACAATAAATGAACACACGTCTAACGCTACTTGCCAATAATCATAAAAAAATATTAACGTTAAAAAAAATCATAATTAATTTTTTTTTCAAACAAACTAATTAAGTAAAAAAGAAACAAAATTTGTAACAGTTAGTTGTATAGCTACAACTGACTGATTCATACATTCAGAGACTTTTTAATTTGTTGCCACAGCGTCGCATTACAAGCCTCTCCTTCTAACAGTATATTTTGTCTTTTTAAAATTGTATCAAAAATTTAGATTCTTTAAACATCAATATTTACAGAGTTATTTAATTTTCGAAAACAAAGAATTTTAGAACACCCTTACTTAAAAAAGCGTAACGTAAAGTTCATTTGTAAAGGTCACAAAGCATATGAATGGGTTGAATGAATTTAAAAAAGACAAAACATACTGTTAGAGGCTTGTAATACGACGCTGTGGCGCGAGTTGTATATAATGTTACAAATTTTGTTTCTTTTTTACATAATTAGTTTGTTTGAAATTTTTTTTTTTTTAATTATGGACTTTGTTTACCGTTAATATTTTTTTATGATTATTGGCAAGTAGCGTTAGGCGTGTGTTCATTTATTGTCGCGATGGTAACGACACGCTGTATAGGTATTAATAAACAGGTTCTCTGGCGTAATGTTGTGTTTATATATTTTCGTTTAGTGACTAACTGTCCAGATAGTCTGGTAACTCAGGCTAACTTTAAAACCATATTTATCATACTGTAAATCCTTTATAGATATTACTATGGTATACAGGTATATATCAACAAAAGCAGGTTTCCTCGTTCACATTTCGTATTTTATTTATGTATTATCGCGCATTAATTACCTTCCCAGATAATCGCAGTCCCAAAGTAGATGATCTACTACGGTGACGTCACTCGCCCCTAATAAAGTGGTTGCCTTGGAAACGGCCATTCCGAGCACGGGTTCGTTGACCCTCTTGCATTACCATCACTTTGACGTTCTTTAATACGTCCTGGATACATAACATTAGTTATCCTATATTTATTCAGTGAAGTCACTTACAACGTAATTAAAGCGAACGGTAAACAAAGAATGTAATTCGTTTTTACAATTAGTTTTTTCATCATTCTATCCCTGATAACAGTTCTACGTATCGCAAGAAACTTTTGTGCGGTTTAATTATAATATTATATTTTATTAAATATAATATGCCACATTAATTATAATGTACCACAATAAATTTTACGAAACTATTATATATACGTCGCATAATCAAGATGTGGCACCATAATTTGATTACAACACCGTCTATTTGTAGCTCTTGGAAACGTCAAGTAGTGCGCTTGAGTAAGGTCGATACAGAAAGTGAGAGAGCTTGCTTGACGGTTATGAATTGTGGAAGCCAAATGACATCGGACACGGGGGTGTGTTCTGGACGTGCTCGGGCACGCCACTTAGAAATGGGACGACGGTGCGAACGGTCATCATCCTGTATCGAACTTGCTACGTTTCCAATCAATTACATCAGTGTGGTTAATAGTTATTTTCGTTATTGTTGATTTTAATCGAACAAGTAAATTACAATGAGGGATCTGACAACGAGTTGTCCCATGTGATCCGCCTAATCACCGACATATATTTATTGTATTCCTGATGTATCTGTCACTTTAAAAAATATATTATTTTGTCTGTAATGTTATATTTTATGATCGTAATGTTTTTGGATTCAAATAAAAATAAAAATATATTTGGGGAGATATTTTGTTTATTTTTATATATATATATATATATATATATATATATATATATATATATGTTATTGTGTAAATTAATAGTATATTTAATGTGAAAAGTTGCCAAACGAGCTGACGGTCCACCTGATGTTAAGTGAATACCGCTGCCCATGGACATCTGCTACACCCGAGGTTTAGCAGATGCGTTGACCTTTTTGGAAATTGGGCTCCGGCTACCTCACTCACCAGACGAAACGCGAAAGTATTATACTTCCAATTTACGCCGGTCTTCTGTGAGGTCGTGGTACTTACCCGGACAAGGCAACCCATTCTTCGTGCGACAGCCGAGGCTGCTCTACCACCGATATAATAAATAGATAAACAAGTAGTACCTAACCAGACGGAAGCCCTCGGCAGGGGAGACCAAATGGCCGAGGGTTAGGGTGTTAGAAAGAGACACCAGTGGACGTTGTGGGTGGTATCGAGAAGCACCGCCTTCTGCATTTGAGATCGGAGCGGTCCGTACCGAGTCCCAGTCGCATCAGATGTTCGGAGAGGCTGACTGGGATTAACCCATTCACGTGAACAAACACCCAAACATTCTTAATTATCTGGTGGCCACTCAAATAGTTGTCCCGAGAGGGAGTCGAACCCACGACCTCAGGCGCCGAAGCGAATACCTTGCCAACTGTGGCATGGAGTCGATAATTTTTTTTTTCGTTTATCGTTTCAGCGTATTTAATTAAAAGCGATCAACGTCTGGACACTGAACTAACACGGCTTAATACCAATATTCAAATACGTAGTAAGTTTACATAAATGAACTGGCCTAGAATAGAAACATACCAACTGCTTAAAATGTGTGTCACGAAGGTGACATTTCAAATTAATAGCGCTCGATATTATTTCTAAAACCATATAACGCGTCCAGTTCTTGAAGCATATCAGATGTACCGGCGCATTACATCTGAAATCATTGGTAAAATTGCATGATTATTGAGATAATCAAAAATATTCCAAGCAAAAGGTGGAGTTTTATCAATCTTCCTTCTATAACACATCCGGTACCTTTTCGTATGACTTGGAATACGAGTTGAATCTACATTACTAATTGAAGGCATAAAGGAAATTATGTTGGACTCGCCTACGAAGGGTTCCATACCATTATCTATAATAACGGCAAGAAATCATGTATGTTGTATGGGCCCAAATTTAATATTTTTTATTGTTTTTTAGTATTTGCTATTATAGCGGCAACAGAAATACATCATCTGTGAAAATTTCCACTTTCCATCTATCACAGTTCATGAGATATAGCCTGGTAACAGACGGACAGACAGACAGACAGCGGAGTATTAGTAATAGGATTCCGTTTTACCCGTTGGGCAAGGAACCCTAAAAATTATAACATGGTAACAATGATAGTATAAACAAACATGAGGTTAAACAGAATTGAATGATAAATGATCTCTTTGCTTAAACTTTACCTGTAACTGTGTGCTTTTCGTAATTGTCTATATTTATAAACTAGTGACTGTAACTTGATTGTCATCCTCGTAGGATGACAATACTGACATAATTATCAATAAATATACAAATTGAAAGTACTTACTGCCTTTCTACGTGACATCGTCTTTTAAAGAGCAATTCTTTTGAGAGAATCTGTAGACATTTCATTATATTTATACAATTGTAAGACTTCGTTAATATATAAATTAATTCATAATGTCTTGTTCATATTATAATTTTGAAATCAAATAGTTAAAGACAACACTTCAAAAGTAAAGGTTATAAATATAATGACATATTTATGAAAGGTTGTCATTCAATGTTTATTTGTTAAACAGCATCTAGCGAAGCCGAATAAGACATGATCAAGATATAGTTAATTTTTTTTTACTAAAAAACCGGCCAAATGCGAGTCGGACTCGCGAACGAAGTGTTTCGTACCGTCACTACATCTCTTTATCCTTTAAACGAGCAATTCTTGTATATATATATATATATATATATACAGCGTGTCGTTACCATCGCGACAATAAATGAACACACATATAGGGGATAACTTTTTAAAGTTGTATTAAACATTTAAATTCTTTAAACATCAATATTTACAGAGTTCTTAAATTTTCCAAAACAAAGAATTTTAGAATACACGTATAAAACTGTAACGTAAAGTTCATTTGTAAAGGTCACAAAGCATATGAATGGGTTGAATGAATTTAAAAGAGACAAAACATATTGTTAGAAAGAGAGGCTTGTAATGCGACGCTGTGGCGCGAGTTGTATAGGATGTTACAAATTTTGTTTCTTTTTTACTTAATTAGTTTGTTAGAAAAATATTTTTTTTAAATTATGGATTCCGTTAACGTTAATATTTTTTTATGAATATATATATATATATATATATATATAAAAAATGCAAAAAAAAAAATGTTATAATAGCTCGGTCGGTAACCTAGCGGCCCCAAAACAAACGGCCGCGGTTCGTATCACGATAATTTACACACTTAGTTTTGTACTTTTGTTTCGATTCAGATGACTTTGTTATTTTTCCCCTTTTTTTTAAAGTTCTTTCTTTTGTGAAAAAACACCAGTTCATATTTTCTTATTATTACGTAGGTAAGATCGAAAAATATTAAGCATATTTCATTACTCAGTAATTTGTATGTAAATGTAATTTCCAAAATACACGATTTACCGAAAAAAAAATAAACCGAGCAAAGCTCGGTCCTCCACTAGTATAAAACAAAGGGGTCCCGCAGTCTTTTTGTCCCTATGTATGCTTGGATCTTTAAAGCTACGCAACGGATCTTGATGCGTTTTTTTTATTAGATAGAGTGATTCAAGAGGAAGGTTTATATGTGTCATACATTGCACCCGTGCGTAGCCAGGAGGGGTCGCTAGTCTATAATAAACTATTTGTTAAGTACCTATATCTAACTATCACGGTTCATGTAGAGCCTTGTGATGATACGGACAGACAGAGCGGAGTCTTAGTAATAGGGTCCCGTTTTACCCTTTGGGTACGGCACCCGAATAAAGGAGACCTAAACGGGATATTTTCACACCGACGAAAATGTCGACGTATTTATCAACTTTATTCAATTTCATTTTGAGAAATGTTTAGCGATTCCCTTACAGCAAACGACCACTTTTTTATATGACATTTTGCGATGATTTTTTTTTAAACATAGCCCTTATTTTATTCTTGACAACATTATCCTGTGTTGTAAGGACGTTCACGTGGACAAACACCCAAATGCGAAACAACTATCTGTGTGTCACACAATTAGTTGTCCCGTGTGGGAATCAAACCCACGATCCCTGACACCGAAGCCAATACATTGGCAACTGCGCCACGGAGTCATCAGTTTGTAGTTTTCAAAAATATTTGATAACTACAAACACCACATTTGCTATTAAAATTATTGTGCTATTTATTTCTATGTTGCGATTCTCTGCACTGAAGATGAAATTTATAATTTGTGATATTTTGTTAAAGTAATTTTTTCTGCCACTACGAGGAGTTTAACCTTTTCCCTCCCGGATCCGAGCCCAAGGTCTAGCCATTTTGCTATATTATCTGACACATTCAGTTATATACGTCTTATAATGTAAAGCGGAACAAGTTTCAAACTTCATTGACTTGGATCATAGATAAGTCATATACAAAATATTATCACAGATAATTCATATACAATAAATCATGATGAGTTGTATACATAAATCATATACAATTATGTCCAACACGTAGCCACATTAGAGGTGATCTGATCAATCACCACATTTACATTTTTGTTGATTTTATTGAGCATTTCAGATGGCAGACTCTGTTGGCTAAAGCGCTCTGTATCTCGCCGAAGGACTTGTTCTTAGTCTCAGGAACGAAGATGACGACGAACACGCAGAAGGCCAAGCAGTTGCAGCTGCAGGCGTAGAAGGTGGCAGCGGACCCGATGGCGGTAATTATGGCCGCAAAGTACTTCGTCAGCAAGAACGACGCCATAACTGAGGCGAACATACACACATTCGTACCCACCATTCTGTATGGGCTGTCTAACAGCTCCACTATCAACAACAGGTACAAAGGTCCTGCACCTGAAAATTGATAGAAATTACATCGAGAACGATTGTGACGGAAAACTTGTCGTTTGCATATCGCACGATCACTTTGTACCATCGGTTGAATTTAAAAAAACGTAGCCTTACAACCTAAATGGTCAATAATTTGTCCCAGTGACTAAATTATATTTAATCTGTACCAAAACCACATAGTAAAAGCTACTAGATTATACATAAAAGGGTAGACGGGCTCAGTACGAATGAACGAACCAAAGTATTGTCACTCACCAGACAAAACGCAGAAGTGTGCGTTTCGTCTGATGAGTTATGTAATCGGTGCCCACTTCATTTAAAGGTGGCAACGCAAAAAAGCTCCGGCTACCGCACTCACCAGACGAAACGCGAAAGTATTATACTTCCACTTTACGCCGGTCTTCTGTGAGGTCGTGGTACTTACCCGGACGGGCCTGCCCATTCGTGCAACAGCCGAGGCTGTTGCGTGGCTCTGAAGTACTAGATTCCGGTTAAAACTTTTTCTTTCACGCTACAATTACAAATTGATTTAATAAAGAAACATTATTTCAGAAATGTCTATTTGATATTTCAGAAATGACAATACAAGATGCCGCGAGCTCAATCCTATTCTTATAGTTAACCTTACTTTGCCAATGTCCCGTCGGTGTATTTAAAATATAAAAAAGCAAGTGCACTATGGTAGATTTTTGATGCCACTTAATTTTCAATTATTGAGTTGTGCTCTTTCCTCTTCGTAATTTGCCATTTCTTCTGAATTTGTCGTTATTACCTAAACACTACAATATTTATGAGCTGTAACAGACACAGCATTCGGATATTTATACCTGAACTGAAGCAAAGGACGACGATCCCCATTGATAGAAGCGGCAGATAATTAAAAAATCCATGTATCGACTCCGCCTTTAATTCCTTGAGAGCTGTGAAAAATACGCCTAGACCCAACTGAAAAACATTTAAGAGTATTAAAAATTTCACTACTGTAAAACGTTATATTCCATAAAATTCAAAATTATCACGCCCAAAATAGAAAATAGTAGTAGAGTTAAAATGAACAAAATATATAATTCATTTAAAATGGGTGATGAAATTATAGAATAACAGGATACATAGCCGTTGAATAGAAAGAAATTACCATTCCTAAAGCCATTACGATTAACGAACTGATCAAAATACTCCTCCTACCGAATCTATCGATGACCATACTCGAAAAGAGGCATCCGAGCAATTGCAATACACCAACGACCATGGAAGCGGTTGAAGATTCGACATTAGTTCTTGTTGACTCCAATACTGTTTGTAGGTAATACGAGACACAGTTATATCCCACCAGCTGTGTTCCAAGGGCGATTACAGTTCCTATTAGGGTTGTTTTAATGAAGGTTTTTTCTCGAAAAAACGCTCTCTTGTCAAAGTTGATTCCCTTATCGACGTTATATCCATTCAGCTCGGTGAGAGCCGTTGATTCTGAATCGCGTAAGAACTTTAGGACTGCCAATGCATCTTCAGATCGTCCTGCAATAGAACGGTCATACTTTACCATATCTAACGATGATATTTACGTTGTAAGCCGTGAAATTTAAACAATCAATAGCTTATCAATATAAAACAGAGTCGACGGTTGAAACTATTTTCAAACACATTGAAATCTGGAGTTTTATCAATGATATAAATAATAATTCTACTTATGGAATATAACCTATAGAAGTCACCATATAAAAGATAATTTTTCTTACCTTTGGAGTGCAGGAAGTAAGGGCTCTCGGGCAAGAAAAATATGGGAAAAAAGGTAATTACAATAATGCTTGTAAATATAATATTGAGTGTGAAATAAGAGACGTAGGGTCCGACGCTAAACATAATTAACACTCCCAACGACGAGAGGACTTGAGATATAGTGCCTAGGGATCCCCTTATTTCAGTCTGAAAGGAACAATACCTGGTTATTTACTGTACTGTAGATAAAAAGACTGAGATATAAGTAGTCAAATAAAATTACGTAACGATATATGTTTAGAAGAGAAGCGAATAAGCCAGAGATACAGCAATCTATTTCGAGTAACAGTCGTAGCTTTATATTTCAAAGTTCAATCAGATATCTTAAGCACATTACACTTATGACAATAAACTCGAAATATGTGTACACTGTACACACAAATGATGACAATTACTTATCTGATGCAATAATATTATGTGTGTACAGCATTTTTGATATGTATATTCTAGATTCTTTATATGGGTTTATAATTATAAATAATATCTTAAATAACAAAATAGTTACATTACAACTGAGTAATAGGAACATTACAATTGGTATTTTTAATTAAATAAAGTTGATTATTAAATTTATATTCATTGAGAATTAAATTGAACAATACAATTCATTTGACCAATCTTTCTTTGAATGTGTCTCCGACTTTTAAAATTGTTTTCTTTCTTTAAATCATTTAAGCTAATGCGTTTATCATTCAAGGAAACAATTTTCTATCATTAGGATTAGTAATCAAGCGCTATAGTTAAGCAGTCCTAGGTGGGGACAACACAGGAAATTGAATCATATTTTTAGAAGTACTTGCTTTGTTTTTCGAACGGCCTTTGGCTTGGCATCAACTCTCTTTGAGAACAATAATAAAAATCTACATGTAGGATTTTTATTATTGCGAAAAAAACTATATAGTTGTAAATAAGAAATTATTTTGCTATAACTTAAAAGTTACCACTTACACTAGAGATGTCCCGATCAGTTATACCGCCTAACGGAGCACATCCTAAAAGGCCTAAACCACCCGAAACATATAAGTACAGGGGCTCTTTTCTTCGATGTCGCAAAAGTATTCGACAAAGTCTGGCACAACGGCTTGCTTTACAAGCTGTACACTCTCAAAGTACCAGATAGGCTCGTAAACACCATCCGGGCCTTTTTGTTAAATCGCTCTTTTCGGTATCGAGTCGAGGGCACCCTCTCCACAAGCCGCCGCCTCACGGCCGGCGTACCACAAGGCTCCTGCCTCTCACCTTTGCTCTTTACGCTCTACACGAGCGACATACCCAAAGACCCCCACGTCAATCTCGCGCTTTTCGCGGATGACACCGCGCTCTTTTATTCAGACCGCAACCTTAGAATACTAACCACTAGACTCCAAAGCGCCGCCGACCGCCTCGGCGATTGGTTCCGCAAATGGAGAATAGAAATAAATCCCGAAAAGAGTGTGGCGATTCACTTCACACGAAGTACTTACCCGTCACATCTTTATAATGGCCCTCGCCAATGCAGAAAGTTGGGGCAAATATCCCTTTATGGTCAACCGCTCCCCTGGGAGAAAAAGGTCAAATACTTAGGAGTCACATTCGACTCGCGTATGTCATTTACTACGCACATTAATAACGTTCGTAATAGAGCCGCGTTCGTCTCCGGCCGGCTACACAATTTAACTAACGCTAAAAGTAAAATGCCCTTAAGGCACAAATTATTATTATATAAGACCTGTGTACGACCTATTATGTCCTACGCATGCATGATCTTCGCCCACACGCACCCTACTCGCTTGTACAAGCTGCAAATAGTACAAAATAAGTTCATCCGCTGTTCAACCGGTGCGCAGTGGTACCAACGCAACGTCGATCTGCACAGCGATTGCAGACTCCCGACGATTCGCGAATATTTTAAAGATTTGACAAAACGGTTCTTCGATAGAGCCGAACATCATCCCAACCCTCTGGTGGTAAGCGCAGCAAATTACCAACCCGACACAAACGCGAACGTTAACAAGCGTCGCCCGCGAAACGTCCTCATCGACCCGGTCGAGGAAGGGGACTTAGATACGCCGGACCCACCGCCGGGGGTCCCGCCGGATAACACTACACCCACAGCTAGTGTAACAACAAACACAATAGTTCGCCCTCGCCTCCGAGCACGGCGAGACCAACACAATGCGTACACAAGGTACACCCGCGTTTCAGGGCGGTTCTCACCGCCCCCAGCCACCGATTAGCTAAAAAAAACAGTCGACGGCCATCGGGGTCTCGGTCCGCACCGCAACTTCGATGGCCCTTAGATGACATGTCGTAGTTAAACGCACGCATGAGCACATGCGCGGCCCTACCCACATCGGAGGGCCCAAATCCGTGGGTTCTGGCTAGCCCACCGGTTCTGCGTCAGATGAAGCTTTAATAGTCTCGGGACTGAAAGCAAAAACATCAGTTAATACAAGATACAAGATACTTATTATACTAGATATATACTACACTAGATATTTCGGCCGCATAGGGGGCTACAGCAACGATCGCTGATGTATCCGAAATTCCTTTGATGACCCTCGCGATCAAGAGCATCTGATAATTCGTGGCGAATAAACAGATTAGAGCAGACACGATCCGCGGCAAGGATCCAAACATGAGACATTGCTTCTTTCCGAGGCGGTTCACAAAGAAAAACGACAAAAGTAGCGCTGAAATTGTATAAATTGTTTGGGAAAAGACTCCAGAATCAAGGTGTAAATTATAACGTATGCAGAGTTGCGATATATGTCTTTTTTATGTCAGAAGGTGGAAAATAAGCTGGCGGTTCAACTGATGCTAAACTTTGCAACAACCGTGGAGATGCAGATGCGTTGCCACCTTTTAATAAAATTCCCCCGCTACCCCACCCACCGGACGAAACGCAGAGGTATGAAAACTTCCACTTCACGCAGGTCTTTTGAAGTCGTGGTATTTACCGGTAAGGACCTACCCATTCGTGCAACAGTGAAGATTGTTGCGTGGCCCTATCACATTTAAATGGATCCCGTTTTAGCACCACGGGCGCCCTACCATACAACTAGACGGGTTTCTTAATTGAAAAGACCTTCGTCCATTTAGGAGAAGCGTAAGATTCTTTGCTATTTCATTTTTATAGTTTGTTCTGTTATTTTTACTTTTTAACTTAAAATGCAAAATGATTGTACCGTAGTGGTAAGACGAAAAAAAAATATCTACTCTCGCCTCTTGTATTATCACCACATAATTTGTACTTTATAATATGATACGGATAATTATGGAAACTGCTTGTGAATGATTAAACGTTTAACACATTATTCTTCTAAACATGTAAAAAAACTGTTTAAGGACACTTAAGTACGGAGATAGTTATTAATAAACAAAAACGACTCTTAGCAATATTTTTTTTTATCTTTATAAACATTGCCCTTACTTTAGGATATCATTATCCTGTGTTGTAAGAACGTTTCACAAACATAAATGTCACGCGGACAAACACCCAGATGCGAAACAACTATTTGTGGGTTACACAAATAGTTGTCCCGTGTGGGAATCGAACCCACGACCCCGACGCTGAAGCCGATAAGTTGACAACTGCGCCGCGGAGTCATCAAACATATTGGTATAGTCTAAATAGAAAAATCTGTAAAAACTTGCGTGTTGTCAATTTAACACTACTAAGATAGTTTTGATACAGAAATTGTAAGCTTAGATACCATACTACTTACTAAACAAGGCAGAGAGAAAGTATACGGAAACTATCCAGGAGCTTTCCTCGTCAGTGACAACATGAGAGAGTGGTGTCATTGTTTCGTTCTTAAGCATCACCAGCACCGGAGACGGCCACGTCACATCCATCGCCAGGCACAACATACTTAGGTTGGCTGAACAACAGAATCGTCCTAGTTCATCTACATCATTTCAGCCGGTTTGAGTCCACTGCCAACACAGACCTCCGCCGCAGACTTCCACGAAGCACGATCCTGAACCATCCGCATCTAGCAATTCATTCCCAGTTGGCAGTAACAAACTGCTTTCTAGCCTTACTCTTTGTTAAGCCAGAATTTGTATTGTTAAACAAGTTCTTTTTTTATTAGCGGAAAACGAAATCGACTTCAAATATCTCGATTTGTATTAAATTCATAATTGGTTTTTAGGAGTTCCCTAAGTATCTCCGGAGCCCAAGATCCAATACCAATGAAATTAATATGGGACCACAATAATGGGAAGCACCAGCTTTCAAAAAGAAGAATCATAAAATTCCGTTCACCCAGTCGAAAGTTTTGGGGTAGCAAAATTAAAAAAAGAAATATAGAATAATCGAGAACCTCCACCTTTCTTGAAATCTGTTGATAAATACTTTACGGATTTATCGCCATTAAGTTCTATAAAATATTTTATATCCAATCAGCGATCTTATTCTGTATAACGTCTCGCGTATTCTCGTTTTGGGAGTCATTACATGTAAGAAAATAACATGCAATCAATTTAAAATTTAAACGGACTTTAAGCCAAATAATTCCCTGTTTTTAAAATGCCCAATTCCAATGGGTTGTCACGGTTTTGATGTATTCAACGTTCAAAGGACTTACTTTACTAATAATATATTTTATTTTGTGGATAGAATCTGATGGTCAAAATTATTTCGCCTTCTCCGAAAATTATTAGATATTGAGGAATTTTTTTAGGAAATTTCTTCCTATTTTTCAATCTTCAATTTTGTCTAAATCTATTCAAATTTGAATTACGTCGAATAATTTTTGAAATATTGGCAAAAAATCAAAGCCCCTTGCTTTCCACTTAATTGTTTATAACTTTTGCTATTTTTGCGAGCGGCCTTAGCATTTTCTCAAACACTACCTACATGCCATTCCGAATCGAATTATACCTCAAACAGGTTAATTATATAAATAGTAAATCAATACCAGTTACTATAACAAGATACTGCTTTAATCTTGGACACGACACAACGCTGAACGTTCCAATTTTATACTTCATTTTGGATATTAAGACTATGGTAACACATAAAACCGTAAATAGTAAGAAATTAAAAAACAGCTGGCTGATAATATTTTAAAGACCAACGCAATTCTTTTTAATTGTTACATAAACTGAGCACTACTAACTTGAACAAAGACACGTTTCGTTGTTATCGTTAAAAGTGATATTCTTGTAAAATTCACATGTGCGATGCCATTTGTGTAAAGTTCTCTGTAATTAGCATAATTTATTTACTCTATAGGTACGATCTCCTCAACAAAATGGTAATATGTTTGTCTTTGTGAATTTCTCTAGAATTAAGAGCGAGCTAGTTTCGTTTATGACATAAATTATATTCTATGTTATAAAAATGAAGTTGATCTAATGGTATAAAATATTATATTTATTTTTATTTATATTATTACATCTTTGTTGTAATCATTTATTATTAGATATATATAAATCAAATAGATAATAAATGAGACCATAAAGTAATTAGTCTATGTAAACTTACGTTGGCTTAAATAGATGAATTTTGCGCTTATAATTTATGTGATAATTATTTTTGATAATACATGGGCGTCAAATAGAACAAACTTTAAGGATCTAATATTTACAAGACTAAATATTAGATTATTTAGCGTTCTTGGCACCATGCCGCGTGTATTATTTTACTAATAGGGTGGAGGACATTGAGTAAGTTGTTGCCTCATAAAATTTACTCCTCATTTAATACTTGAGCTTGACGCTGTTCCAAGTAGTAAGTGACAAACAAGATTCGGGTTTTTGCCAATCCTCGATCGTCTTTCTGTGTCGTGTACATTGGCTACGGTCATCAAGAACTGGCAATTGAAACATCGTGCACTGTACGATAGAGGCGTTGTTACAAATAAAACAAAGAAAAAACGAAAACTTACCACCCTTGTCCACGATCAAATCTAAACAAGTTAATACATAAGACAGTTTGAGGATAATTTATATTTCTTTTTTTAATCAGGAATAAATTAGAATCATGTATTTATAACTTATGAAAACAATAGGTCATGGACTGGAGAAGATAATTATCTTCTCCAGTCTACAACCATCTTATGTCTTTTCCTCATCCCCGTTCAGTCCTGCTCCTAGGGCCGCCTGAATTTCAGCGAAGGTCTTCCCCTTGGTCTCTGGTACGCAGTAGTGTATGAACAGGCAGCTGACGGCGCACGCGCCGCTGAAGAGCCAGTAGGTGGCAGCCGGCCCGATGGTGAGCGTGAGCGTCGCGAAGTACTTGGTGGTGAGGAATATGAAGAGGGTGGTGACCACCATGCTGGCGCTGGCGCCGATGGCCCTGGCCGGCCCGTCGAACAGCTCGGCTATGAGCACCCACACGAGCGACCCCATCCCTGGAGTGGAAGTTATCGAATCGAGGAGTCCGTTCTATCAACGTAATCGGTGTTTCGAACTGAACGTTGATTTAACTGTGGTAGGGCCTCGGCTGTTGCACGAATGGGCAGACTCGTCCGCGTAAGTACAACAACCTCGCAGAAGACCGGCGTAAAGTTGAAGTATAATATTTTCGTTTCGTCTGGTGAGTGAGGTAGCCGGAGCCCAATTCTCATAAGATTGTCAACGCATCTGCAACCTTCGGGTGTAGCAGATGTCCATGGCAGCGGTATTCAATCAACATCATGTGAACCGCCTGCTCGCTTGGCAACTTGTCACATAATAAAAAAGCTATCAATTTTATGTGACAAGTAAAAGAGTAATCTGTAGCCATCGGGTGTACAAAGCAGTGATTTCTGCTGCCATTAGAAACACCGAAGTAATTTCAAAAGCAACACACTTTATGGGTAAAAATTACCCACTCAATTCACCCCGGCCTTCTGTCTAGAGGCGGTACTTCCCCGGTCTATTTTTATGTGAAAAGTTAGGTGATTACCACCCATGGACATCTGCAACAACTGCAGGATTGCGAATGTGTTGCCAACATTTGAAAAAGTCGGACTCGGTTACCTCACTCACAACACACAACGCGAATTTTATAAGACATCCACTTTATGCCGGTCTTCTATTGGCCGTAGTACTTTCCCAGACGAGCCTGCCCATTCTTGCAACATCAGAATCTGCTAAGTGGTGTGCACAGTTACAACCTATTTTCTGGAATCTAATTTCCTAAAATTTTATGTTGTCTATGTGATCCGATTCAACAATTTTGTTGAGATTTCAGTTTTTTTTTTTAAATAAGGCATTATTAAGTCTATGGCATGGATGATTATGGGCATGATTACTAACTGAAACAAAGATAGAAAATTCTAAAATATTAAAATTACCTGCACTATAGCAATAAACGACGAGTATCAACGACATTACTGGCAGGTAGTTCATGAAGCCTGACACTTCTTGTGTGTTCTCCCTGATTTTGAAGAAGACTCCCAATCCCACCTGAAAATCCATTTGTAATTCTTAGAAAAAAAAAATTTACGACTAATAAAATATTATGTAACATTAACGTTGTCCATATTCATCCAATTTGTGGCCCTTGCTGAGTTTTGAATCACATTCTCTATTGCTATAATAATTTCTGCCTTTAATTCAATTTACTCGAGCAACCAATTCCCGGTGCCGGCACCAAAGAAATTCTTAATATAAAAGGCTGAACTATCACGTGGTCTGCTATGAAGTGAAACATCGTAAAAAAATCAAATATAGTATGCAAAGTCCCCCAATCCGCAGTGGGGCCGTGTGGTGGACTATGCCCTCATACCATCTGTACAGAGGAGGCCTTTGCCTTGGACTGTTACTTTACCCTTTTTTTCGACCCACAAACGAAGGTTTTATAAGAATCACGTTGATCGCTCCCCAAATGGTTGATAAAATACACTCAAAACTGTAGTTTCTTTCTATTGTGTAAATTATATTGTGTAAATTACTACATGTCACAATGATATTTAAGGGCGGGCGTTGTGTGCAGAAACCGCTATATCGAACTGAACGTTAAAAAACTTTAAGGTAAACGGATGAGCTATTCGATAAGTTCATAGCGATCGACATTATTCATGTAAAGTTCATCGTCGACTTGACAATGGCTGTCTTCACAACCAGTTTTAATTAAAGTTTTAAATTGAACTTATATTCATTGTGCAGTTAAAATGTAATACAAGTTTCAACAGCGCTTTGTTCGCTCGTGGGATGAAGATAAAAGCATGATTCTGCGATACAACGGTATTTGAATTTGTCTAACCTTATTGTCTAGTAGTCATCGTTATGCAGTATTGCAATAACATAATTTATTGCAATACTGTATAATGGTGACTATTCGGCAATAATGATGAATACAATGTTAATTATCACGTGCTCAGCGGCGAAGGAAAACATCGCGAGGAAACCTGCATATTTTCGAAGTAATAACAAAAAAAAATATTTCGAAGATATGTGAAGTCCGCCAATCCGCAGTGAGGTCGCGTGGTGGAACACGCCCTGATACCCTCTGTATACAGGAGGCCTTTGCGCAGCAGTGGGACATATATAGGTTAATACTTTTACAATGTTAACCATTTATTTGTTAAAGTAACATGAGCGCGATATAACCGACAACTATGGAGATAAATTAATAATAATGTATGTTTAGTGGCGTCTGGACGAATTATTCAGTAGGCGAAGGTTCGAATCGTTTGCGTTTAAAACGATACAGAACCTTTTTTTTTTTTTTTCAACTTTACATAATCCAATCACCGCATCCCAATACTCACGAGTCCAATCAGCATGCCGACGAGCGATGATATCAATATATGCTTCCTCTTGAACTTTTCAGTCACTAGTGTTGTGCAGAAGCTGGCGAGGAGTTGTATCAGCCCTATGACCACCGAAGCCACTTCGGGCATCACGTTCGTCCTCGTCGAGACCAATATCGTTTGCAGATAGAAAGAGACGGCGTTAAATCCGACCAACTGCGAGGCGACGCACACGAGTATCGATACGCCGAGCGATTTGAGCACAACCCTATCCTTCAGTAGTTGCATTTTATCGACACTTTCATTCTCCGACAAAGCGTAACAGGCTATCTCCTCCTTAGCCAGTTGCTCTGAGCCGCGAAGAAGTTTCAACACTTCCACCGCTTCGTTTATTCTCCCTGTGATATATTGAGACATTTCAGTAATGCAAGTTATAAGTATATATTTGTCGATAGCCGATAAACCATTTTGCTAAATAATTCCCATTACTTAGCAAATTGTTACTTACGCCTTATTAAATACTAGCGGCCCGCCCCGGCTTCGCACGGGTATTTAACAAAATTTTTAAAATTAAAAATTATCATACACATAAAATATTCCGAATATTTCGTCTTTGGTGAATAATTTTACGAATTTCTTCATCTTTTAATGAAATACCCTTGAAATTACGTCATGAAGATCGAAAGACCGCTGACCAGATGGTTCCGCTTCAATTACGGGACATTCGGGGTTACACGTAAAAGTGACAAAAAAGTCTGGTCTCCCATAGCTTCGGACATAAATCATCCCATCTTTGTTTTGTTGACCGATATTTGATGAGCCAATGTCTTAAAGATGGCAACTCATTTGCAACCCTACAGGTGTTACAAATGTCCATGGGCGGCGGTTATTACTTAACATCAGGTGAACCGCCAGCTCGTTTGCCACTCTATCACATTAAAAAAATCAGGTTTTATTATCTTTATTCAATATAGAAGTATTACACTTACATATTGTCGAAAACACTACTACTGTCAACATTCTCTATAAAAACGGCCAAAAAATTATGTCTGTTTTATGGGAGCCTCACTTATTTATATTTTTTTGTTTTTTGGTATTTTTTGTTTAGCGGCAACAGAAATTCATCGTTTGTGAAAATTTCAACTGTCTAACTATCACGATTCATGAGATACAGCCTGGTGACATATGGACAGACATACGGACATACAGACGGACATCGGAGTCTTAGTAATAGGGCCGTTTTAGCCTTTGGGTACGGAACCCTGATAAGTCCCAGTAATAATGCAATGGCTTAAAACAGGAAGCTTTAGCCATCAACCTAAATGCATACAATTGCATGGATGTCATAGTTTTGTTACGCACAGTACCTTGCTGAGCAAAAGTCAAATATTAACCGTCTTCTCCTATTACGACTATTAAGGGACATTTTTATGGATCATACAATCGGTGTAACTCAGAGACCCTTTTAAGTTGGCCGTGTCTACCGTGCAACACTATATCTCTGGAGCCTTTTTAGGATGCCGTACCCAAAGGGAAAAACGGGACCCTATTACTAAGACTCCGCTGTCTATTAGTCCCTTTGTCAACAGGCTGTATCTCATGAACCATGATAGTTACACAGTTGAAATTTGATCTGGGTATTTGTTTCCCAAGGAGGGTTGACGTCAAGCAGGCGGCTGGTTGTAAAAATATAGGTAAAACCACTTACAACATGATTCATGTTGTGCCGACCCCACCTAGGTGGGATAGGGGCAGGAGGATGATAATAACTTGTATACTTGTCCCTCTATTTTAAAAGTTCGCGTCAAACGAAGTCATTTGAAAGAGGCTATTGTACTTTCGGATGTTGGTTAAAAATTTGAATGATTATTTGTAAAATGGTTTTTTATTGGTTGTGGCGGCTCCTCAATATTGGGGGGACTAACTTTTCCAGAAGTACAGCACATACCATTTGGTTCATCGACCCATTTTCGGCAGAACACTTAGAGCAGATCTTATTCGTGGCTACGATGTGAACGGAAGACTGTTGAGCAAAATGCATGAAAGCTGATCTGTTACTGTTTGGTAGGTGGAAGAGGTGAGTTCGTGTGTGTCGGGTGAATATGTAAAGTCAATACACTGTTCACAACATTTATTGTCTACACACATATACGACCACAGAAGAAAGTCAGAAGGAGTAAAAGATAGCACAAAACAATAACAAAAGAGGATAGCGAAAATAAGCAACTACAGCGGAACTATGACAACACGTAATATCTGATAAAGCGTAAGCGCAGCGGGAAGCAACAAGCGACTGGCGATAGGAGTTAATGTACCGCGCCTCACGAGTGTCTTATGACGTAGCACGGGCTCGGACGGAATCGCTGTTGCCGGGCGCCCGATCGGTGAATCGTATATAAAAAACGTTAGGTGAGCCGCGTCGCGTCGCGGCACAGCTGAACGTTGATAGCGATCGTAAACATTGGTAAATAACATTAGTAAATGAATACGCTACATGTGATTAATAATAAAACGTGAAAATAATATATACTTAATATAGATATGAGAAACATATATAAGAATTAATAAATAAATATTTATTATTAACAAATACATATTAATTTAAAATATTTAGCCGCCACATCACTCCCCCCCCGGAGACCGTTACTACGGGCGATAAAAATCGGGGAATCTAACTCTGCGGCCCGAACGCGTTTCTTCTGACAAGATCCTGTGGCGTGGTATTTTGCCCTATAGAAACAGGATCAGGCAGGGAACTAGGATGGGAATTGGGCGTGGAGGTGGAAGGGGAATCAGGTGTGTGAGACAATATGTAGGCTGGCTTGAGGCGGTCTATGGATACCGTCATACGTTTCCCTTTGACCTGTATTTTGAAGGTCTTTTCCCCTCGCTCCAATACTTCATGGGGACCGGTGTAGGGTGGCTGCAATGCCCCACGTACTGTGTCGTCCCTTAAAAATACGTGACTGGCAGAAGTCAACTCTTTATAAATAAAAATGTTCCCTTTATTGTGCCGTGCTGCTGGTGCTGGTTGCAATTTTGATACGTATCGGCGCAAGCGAGTGGTAAATTCCGAAACGTCGGTGGAGTGGGGGGACGTTGCCTGGAAGAATTCCCCGGGCAAACGTAATGGCTCGCCATACACCAATTCGGCGGAAGAAGTTTGGAGGTCTTCCTTAAATGCACTTCTAATGCCTAATAACACCAAAGGCAATGAGTCTACCCAGTTGCAATCAGCGTGGCACATTATGGCTGCTTTCAGCTGACGGTGGAATCGTTCCACTAATCCGTTACAAGCTGGGTGGTACGCGGTTGTCCTGCGGTGTTTGAATCCGATCATTTTCCCAAGATATTGGAAAAGTGACGATTCAAACTGCCCGCCGCGATCAGTGACAATATCCGTTGGGCATCCAAATCTGGATATCCAGGATAATAATGCCTTCCCAACTGTTTCAGCTGACATGTCTACCATAGGGGTAACCTCTGGCCAGCGAGTGAAACGATCCACCGCGGTGAAGCAATAGCGAAAGCCTTGAGAAATTGGTAAAGGGCCAATAATGTCCACATGAATAAAGGCAAATCGTGCGCTGGGAAGATCGAAGGTGCCCATAGGAGATGACACATGTCGATGGACCTTAGCGCGTTGACATGCCAAACATTGACGAGACCACTCCCGACAGTCTCTGCGCACCCCAGGCCAAACAAATCGATCGGCGACCAGTTTCGCCGATGCGTTAGAGCCTGGGTGACTGAGACTATGGAGACAGTCGAAGGTTTGTCTCCTCAATGGCTTGGTCACGAATGGTCTTGGAGTAGCTGTGCTGACGTCACAATAAAGTTCTGTGTGACAATTCGGAACTTTCAACTTTTTTAATCGGAGTGATGATTCTCCTTGAAGCAGTTGAGTCAGTTCGTTGTCTGAAGCTTGTGATTCAGCCAGCACATTTAGGTCGACAGGCATCTGTAGCTCATCGACACGAGATAATGGATCGGCGACGACGTTATTCTTACCGGAGATGTGTCGGATATCGGTCGTGAACTGTGAGATGTAGTCGAGGTGACGATACTGCCTAGGCGAACAGTTAGCTTTCCTGTCACTGAAGGCATAACTTAGTGGCTTATGGTCAGTAAACACCACGAAGTGTCTGGCTTCAAGCATGTGACGAAAGTATTTTATGCTTTCGTAGATAGCCAAAAGCTCACGGTCATACGGTGAGTATTTTTTGTTGGGTTGGACTTAGCTTCCGTGAGAAGAAAGCTAACGGTTCCCAAACGTTATTTTTCAGCTGCTGCAAAACTGCTCCCATTGCCAGGTCGGACGCATCTGTTACCAGAGCGAGTTCGGCCTGACAATCTGGGTGTGCCAGTAGTGCAGCGTTAGCGAGACTTTCTTTACATTCATTGAATGCCAACAAAGTGTCGCCAGAAATATCGACTGGTTGAGAGCCTTTTGTGCTCCCAGCGAGTAAGGCGTTAAGGGGGGCTTGAACTGAAGCGAAGTGTGGTACAAACCTTCTATAAAAATTCAGCATCCCCAAAAATCGTCGCAGTTGCCTTATGTTTTTAGGCACTGGGTAGTCCGTTATGGCTTGAACCTTTGATTCTAGAGGTTTAGTGCCAGAGGCGGATATTCGGTAGCCTAAAAATGTTACCTCAGATGCCCCAAAGACGCACTTAGGGGTGTTAACCAGAACACCGTATTCCTTCATGCGGCTGAAGAGCTGATGGAGGTGTGTTTCGTGCTCTGCTTCGTTCCTGGAAAAGACAAGAAAGTCGTCCAAGTAGCAAAAGCAAAAGTCCAGACCTCTTGTCATCTCGTCCACAAACCTTTGGAATGTTTGGCCCGCGTTTTTTAACCCAAAACTCATAAAGGGAAATTCATACAGGCCAAAAGGTGTAGTGATGGCGGTCTTAGGGATGTCATCCTCAAACACTGGGATTTGGTTGTACGCCTTCGTCAAGTCGATCGTAGAAAAGACTGTACAACCAGAAATGGAATGGGAGAAGTCATGGATGTGCCTAATAGGATAACGGTCTGGTATAGTCCGTGAATTAAGCATCCGGTAATCGCCACATGGCCGCCAGCTATTATCCTTCTTAGGCGCCAGGTGTAAGGGGGAGGACCAGGGGCTTTCAGAAGGACGCGCGGTGCCGTTGTAGATCATAAGCTCGAACTCTTGTTTGGCAATCTTAAGTTTATCCGGTGCCAGTCTGCGAGGGGTACATGAGATAGGAGGACCAGGTGTGGTTCTAATATGGTGTACCGTATTGTGCTTTGGGGTCACCGGTGTGCCTGACGGTCGAGTGATTTCCGGAAACTTACTTAAAATGTCGTGATATCGCGAATCGCCTGTTGCAACCTTGACGGAACATATATCATCGTTAGCGAAAATTGCAT